TCCTTTTTTGCAGAAGAGGTTTTTGCACAAAAAACCGCAGTGTAGATGGGGCCATTTTGTGCAAAAAAAAAAAAAAACCCTGAGGAATAAGGGTTCTTGAGGAAAAGTGTTTTTTTACACAAAATTGCCCCCTTCTATACTGCATTTTTTTGCACAAAAACCTCTTCTGCAAAAAGGATTGGAAGAACATATGCAAATGAGAGTGCAAGATATGCTAATTAGTGCTCTATTTGCATTTCCTCTTCCACAAAAAAGCAGCAGTATAGACGTAGCCCTAAAGGTGAAGGACAGGAGAAGTGGGGATAGTTTGCTGTGAAATAAAATACAAAAGTATTGCAGATGGTCCTGTACTGTAAGTTAGGTCTTTCATCCATTATGTGTGTGCCCCACATGCTAGGCACTCACGCTTGAATACACACACACAAACAAACAAAGGCTGCAGGGTAAGTAACTTGTACAGATGCTGAAGTCTCCGTTGGGGCCTTTCCCTGCAGCTATTGCTGGGGACACAACTGCTGAAATAACTGTTTTGACCGCACAGGCCCACGCAGCCCATCAGGAGACTCAAACTAGAAAGACATCCATCTAAAGCAACTGCATCGTTTCCTCAAAACCAAGTTTTGTTTTTGAAGCCAAATGAGCATCATAATGAAAGGCTAGAAGGGCCTGTCGGGTTCTGCCAGAACTGCTGACCCATATGGAAATGCTGCATTCTCTGAAAACCCAGAGAGTGCCAGGGCAGGAGATCTTTGGGGCTATTTGTTTGGGAAATAAAGCTTCCCTCCTCCAAGATGAAAGAAAAAAAAGGAGTCTAAACTAATCAAATCCTGCATGCCTGTTGGCTGGCGTTCAGTTTGTCCAGGGTGCTCAGTGAAGTGAGTAACATTTACCGTGCTATGAGCTTTGTGGAAGGGGGAAAAGAAGACAGAAATAAATTCACCTGGCTGTAAGTAAAACAGGTGTATGGGGCTAGAATCTGAGACTATAATTGTGTCTTACAAACATGAGAAAATAGAATTAAGATAAATTCTTATTCTTTATAAATAATTGTAAAAGTTCTCTTTATATTTTACACATGCTTTTGGCAGATATCTGACCGATATTTCCACACCTCTGTTTAAAATTGTAATGCTCCAGCTAAAACACCTTCCCCCCTTTGCTACCCCCAAACTGATAAAATACACCAGGCGACTTTCTGCCATTGCATGCTGTATCTCACAGTGGGGCAATTGGCGTATTATACACAGCTGGGTTTACCTTTGTGACCATTAGAACAAGGGCTGTATGTGTATTCATTTAATAATGTCATTGTTGTTTAGTGCGTAGACTAAAAATATTTCCTCTCTCCTTTATCATTTCACAATTTGTCCAGTCTTCCCAAGATTGCTCGGTACCCTGTAGTAACTCAACCAGTTTCTGATAGAGATCCTAATCACACATTAAATAAGGAAACTGGCTATCTTGAACCAGTAAACTGAAATAACCAAAAGTGAGCCTTGGTCCTAAATATTAAAGAAACGGAGGCCATAGCCTATAAGACAAATCTAATGTATGAATCAGAAGTTAAAAAAAAAATTAAATGGAGAGATTATCATAGTTGCTTCACAACAGATAGACAAGTGGCCCCGTGTTGAAAATAGCATGATATGGTAGTTGAATCACACCATAGCCTAACCTAAATTTGACCTTCAGACCCTCAAGCGACACACTCAGAATAACACAGCAGCACTTTAACTTGTGAATCAAAACCTTAAAATAAAGAGATTTTGACCCTTTTACAATTCAGAAACTCTGGTACCACAGACCGATCTTCATTTTTGCTGCTCAGCTGAGGCTGCTTATGTGGAAGCTTCCCTGTTCCTGTCTGCATCAATATTTTAGCTGAAGCATGGTCTTTACCTGAGAGGCGTCTGGGCACATCGGTGATGGCAGGAAGGCCTGTGCCTCGTGAAGAGGACAGGGGAGTTGTGGAATGAATGGATGGTGAAGTCATCTGGCTCAAGTAGGATGGGTAAGACTGGTCATAGGACCATGGAGGGGATGATTGTGCCTGTCTGGGGTCTAAAAAATAAAACAAAAAAGAGAAAATTAAAAAAGAAATGAAAAGACTGAGGCTCCATGGCAGCTTAAGCAATGATGGTGGCATCACAGAATCTAAGTGCATCATGTCTGATAAATAAAAGCATCCAGAACCCTTCCTTTCTCCATGGCTCTAAGTTTTTCACCTTGGAAAATAATGTGGCATGAAATGCACAGTGCACAACAAAGCACTTGCGCTCAATTTCTACTCGCAAGCAGAATTTTAAATGTGTGGCCAGTGTTCCAGAAATTCTTTCACTCTCTTGTCCAGTCCTAATAAAGCATCCCTCCAGCAGCTCAGAGCTGTGTTAATATCCTCCATGTGTGTGGTGGGGGTTGTTTTGTTTCGGGGGGATTACTTTTCTTTTCTTTATTTAAAATGCTGCAGCTAAACTTAAAACTGACTTTCTCGGAAGGGAAGGAGAACTCAAAAGTTGATGGCCACATATGTCAAGTTGTTATCCAGTTTCAACATGAAACAGAAGCGTTTTCAACACTGAGAAAGTGATCCAAGAAGGAAAATGTCATTAATCCTATTAGCGTCTGCCCAAAAATTGTCATGTTTGGATTCTAGCCCGGTTACCTAAAGTCACCATCAATATAGTATGAAAATGAATGGTATGGAGTAACTATTGAAAGCTAATTATACCTTTTTTTGTCATTTTTACAGCATGCCTTGGAGAGAATGAGTCAAGGGCATTCAGATTCTCTTTTCCATTGACGTTCTGGTGGGCTTCACTGGGTGAGAGAAGAGGGTGGGCAGTCTTATTTCCTTGCCACTAGGTTTGGTAAATAATTTTGCTTTTAGTCAATAGCTGGTGATTCACTGCTGGCAGGAGGAATTACTCATCAGCATTTATTTTTTTCTTTTACATTGGTGAAGATCTCGCAGCATTTCCTAGCTAAGAGAACTAGGAAAATTTGTCTAGTAAGGGAGGGGGTACACAGGAGAACTGTCTGCACGGCTGCCTTTGGATTACTTTATATATACTGCAACACATCCAAAATCTCTCCACTGTTTACCAAGTAGCAAACCAATGCCAGTTTGCCTCTTGAGAAGTTGCTAAATTTGAGCAGTGTCTCAAGACTCCACTTTATTGACAGAAACACAAAATCTGAATGGCATAAGCAATCCTCTCCCCATTTTTTTCATCTTCAGAAAATTCGCCTTTAGGGGTAGAAAAAAAACTTTCTTTCTGCTCTTCCACATGGCAAAACCTTGTAGTGTCATCTATTTCTTGTTTATTTCCTTTGCTCGGACATGATTTGTTTAAAGAGATGTCTGGAAAGCAGATACTTCCTTGAAGCAAAATAACTGTAGAGAGACAACCAAAAATATCCTTTCCAATTTAATGTTAAGAGGATTTTCCTTAGGTTTGCCATTTATATTAGAGTGGAATAATATAAATGGTTAACATAAATGCTCCTCAGAAATCTTCTTTGTTTTAATAATTTCAAGGCCAGGGCTGTATAGATCGGCACAATGTTAAAGCTGACTGGCTATTATTGTAGCTGATATTGACACTTCTTTCTGCCTCATACCAGTAATAGAATTCACTTGTTCAGTGAATGGCAAGTGGTCTTAAATCGGGGGTTGGGGGAGAAAGGTTTATGCACAATGGCAAAACAATATTAAAAGTAATGATGGGTCAAAACCAGAGCCTCAAATCCAAACTCCCTCAAATTCCAGGTTTTCAATCCCAATATTATGATCCAAACGACTCTCCCTTATGGTTTTGATTCTAGGCCACATGTCATACTGGAATGGGCTTAATTTCCCTTTCAAATGTGGAAGCAATATCCAGAGAATGGAAATTCTCAAAGGATTTGGGTCCACGACAGGGAGAATCTCATGCCTACAGTTACTCTCACGGGATTTCTGCCACTGAGAATTGTAGAAGTCTCATGGGAGCAGAAGTCTTTGATACATTTGTGCACCATCACATCTAGAACTCAACTCCTCATCCTCCTTTGGCCTGGGACCCCAAAATCTAGCCTAGCCCTAGATCTCAATACAACCTCCTTGCTCGTCCTGTCTTACCATAAGAATAAAGGCTTTTAGGGTCATGTAAGCAGGTTCTTCTTTTTGATACTTGATTTCAGCAATTCATGCTTGTAACAGTTGGAGTTTTATAAGCAAAAACTCTTTCAGAATAAGAAAAGAGGGGCTCTCATTTGGGGAAGACACTGGATTGTGACTCGGGAGTGCTGGATTCAATCCTGGCTCTGCGACAGGCATAGGTACTGGAACTAGGGGTGCTGCTGCCTCCCCCCGTGACTTGAAGTGGTTTCCATCATAGACAGGTTTGGCTCAATGGCTCTCAGCTCCCCCATTAAACAAATTGTGCCAGCATTCCCAGCCAGTCTCCTGAAGTGACACTGGTCTCCCGAAGTCACTTAACCTTTCTGTGCCTCAGTTCCCCAAAATTCTCTCTTTTTCCTACTCTTTGTCTTGTCTGCTTGGTAAGGTCTTTGAAGTATGGCTTGTTTCTTCCTATGACATTAGGGCCCCGATCTTGGTTGGAGCCTCTCAGCCCTGATAGGTCAGTGCAGAGACCCAGGCCTGCCAATAGCGGGGGGATGCAGCGAGGGTAGCAGCTTCTGCAGACATAACTGAGCATACTCTGTACAAGCCAAGCAGTAAATGGGGGAGGGACACATAACCCCACATTCCTCCTACCCCATGTCACCTCTGGCTCAATGGCCACATATTCCAATGTGACCCCTTCTCAAATGGGAGGGAGAGTAAGTTCTGCCTGAGATCTGCAGAGAAATGAGGGATCCGTTCATCTCTGATTAGAAAAGCAAGCAATTGAAAAGAAAAATAAAAAACCTGAAGCCAAGCCAGGTCCAGGCAAAAAGTGATAGAAAAGTCACTGCTGGGGAGGAAATCAGGGCTGTGCCAGAATAGAGAGTCATAAGACTTCTTGCTCTAAGTCAGCGCTGAGGTCACCTTTGGGGCAGGGTGGAGAATCTTGCCCTATGGCTGGCTGGCTTTGTTCACTCTGGGTGGCCTGTTAACAAACAGGAAACTGATGTGTCTAGCTTCTGTGAGCAGAAGAAGCCTTCAAAGCAATGCCACTAAGAACAGCAGGTGTGTGCATGAGTGGGGGCTGTGTGGGGGAAGCTACACCCCAGCTGCCTGCCAAACTTGCAGAGCCGAATGGTAACCTGCACTCCTGTCACCAAGCTGGGCCGAACACGTTCATTCACCAGGCCACATGGGAAATTCAGTGCGCAGACTTCCAAAAGAACTTAGTCCTTCAGGCCACTGGCCTGTGAGAAACCCATAAGGTGGCACTAGGGAAAGGCTACACTAGAAGTGCTATAGCTGCGCCGATGCAGCTGCACTGTCGTAATGTGTCTGGTGGAGAGAGCTTCTCCGTCGGCATAATAAAACCACCTCTGCAAGAAGAGAGGGAGACGCTCTCCTGTTGTGCTTTCCACGCCGGCGCTTAGTTGGTGTAACCTACGTCGCTCAGAAGATGGTGCATTCATATCCTGGGGCAACATAAGTTATACCAACATAATCTGTAGCGTAAACAAGCCTGAACATAGATTCCCAGAATGCCAGTGAAGCAGGAACATAGGCTATAAGAGATCAAGCAATCCTATTTGTTTGGAGGGGGGGGTTCCACAAACACCACAGTTGTATTGAAAACAGAGCCCAATACAGAGAGGAAAACCTGCCCCTGCAAGCCCCACCGAGCCTGTTCATATCCCAGAGTTTGCTCTCAGACTGATGTTTTCTGAGACATGTGGCAAAACTGGGCACAAGCACTTAAGGGAATCACAAAGAAGTTCTGGAGAGTTCTGTTTTCATTGCTTCTGTGCTGAGTGATCACTTAGCTTGGATACACTTGGTATTTAATGTGCACTGGTGGAGTGCATATTAGCATATCAGTGTGAGCATATTAGTTGGAAGCTTTTTCTGTCTTCTGTACAAGAAGCAAATTCTCCTGTTAGCTCTACCAGGGGGCGGGTGAGAATTGCCAGGTTATCTGGGTGTCGGAGAGCTAGGAGCTTTGCACTGTCAGATGAAAGATCCTGGGCGCTGACAATGGCAGCATTTTCCCAATTGTTAAAAGCCTAGACGTCCCAGCCAGAACGGTTACCTAGAGGAAGTATGACTCTGCCTAAAGGAATCCCCAGCACACAAGAAAATAAAAAGCATACTGAGCAGGTGTGTGTATGGGGGTGGTGAAATAACCTACCCACCTGTCTTGAGGCAAACACTAAGAAAGGCAAAGCACAGTGAGGTGACCAAAGCCAGGCAGGTCAGGGCTATCATATTTCTGCACGTCAGAATTTGGAGTGATTACTAAGAACAATCCTCCGTTTGTAAACATTTTTGTTATGCCTATGTGGGTGTGAAAAAAGTGCTGCTTTCGTAAGTCATTCACAACAGGGCATGTCATGCAAATACTCCTAAACTTCATGCACAAATCGGCTGCAACGAGTCAGCAGGGGTGAGGTCTAAGCTAACAAGCACACAGCTACTTCCTGTTTGCAGTGCCAGGTAAGCTTCTGTGAAGCAGGAAATATCAAAAGACTGCGTATTATTTCATTCCTAGGCTTCACTGCCACATTCAAAGTTACCGCTGGTAAATTTACATACTTATTTGTCAATTGCTTCCATGGTCTGCTGAACACATGCTACTGGATACTTGGGAAAACAAGGGTGTTTAGAAATTAGTCAAATGTTGGATGGACTATACAAAATTAAACATAAATGTCCCAAGTCATTTGTCAATTAGACACCGTTTCCTACTTAAGTAGCCTTTTGCCATGCGTTGGCAGTAGGTTATAAGACATACATACATCTAGAGTGGAGAGAAATCAATTTTCCATTCCCCAAACAAGAAGAGTACAGGTTGAAACTCTCTTACCCGGGATTCTCTGATCTGGCAACATCCTTGATCTGGCATGGACCAGAGAGTCCCAGTATAGGGTGAGCCATAAGGCTAGCAGGGCAATGGGCT